ACAGATGTGAGCCACCATGCCTGGCCTATCAGATATTAAATGTAAAGACAAAACACCTTTTTTTTCCTCAGAAACTAGGGGTTTTTGAACATACATACTTTAACCAGTTTCTGTGTTATACTAATCTAAACAAGCATCAAACTCTGTTTACCAATTTATAGATTCTAAACTAATTTATAGAAACTAAAACTAATGTATAGTTGCTCTGTTATACTAATTTATAAAGTATCAAACTATCCAGAAGATGAATGAAAATTCAGTCAATTATCCAGATATTTGGCCTAGCAAAAAGGGTGTTTGAGAATGATTTACAAAAACGTTCGCTCGGCCGGGCGCGGTGGCTCAAGCCTGTAATCCCAGCACTTTGGGAGGCCGAGACGGGCGAATCACGAGGTCAGGAGATCAAGACCATCCTGGCTAACACGGTGAAACCCCGTCTCTACTAAAAAAATACAAAAAACTAGCCGGGCGAGGTGGCAGGCGCCTGTAGTCCCAGCTACTCGGGAGGCTGAGGCAGGAGAATGGCGTAAACTCGGGCGGCGGAGCTTGCAGTGAGCTGAGATCCGGCCACTGCACTCCAGCTTGGGCAACAGAGCGAGACTCCGTCTCAAAAAAAAAAAAAAAAAACGTTCGCTCTTCATTTGGGTGTTATCAGGGCAAAAATGGCATTTACCTATTGGGAAGCCCAGTGTTAACTCAGCAATCTGGGTTCCTTTATCTTTCTCTTGGTCCCAAGGACTCTCTAATTGAAATTCTCTGTAGTTTGACAAAGGCAGAAGCTGGAGGATCTTTCTGCCTTTGGCATTTGTAGGAAATCTTTGCCTGTAGGATATGCTGGTGGCTCACATAAAAGAGGATATCTCACATGCACCCAGTTTGCTAATTTGAAGGTTTCTCGGCTAAGTCCTGGTAGACAAACCAATGTTTATCTCAAGTCCAGATGGGGTGGTGGTGGGAAGCTGAGAAGGATGAATGATAGGCTTATGTGGTGGTACTCCCTAAGACTGAATCGGTGTAAACATTTTCTTCATTCATATTTCAATCGACTGCATTCATAAGAGATAAAAATTCAAATGATGGAAAATATGACCTTATTTAGAGAGACAAGGAATTAACTGTTTAAAAGTTGAGTGATCTATACATCCATAGTAGGCTACAAACAGCTCTAATAACCCAGCTGACATGAATATTGCTCAGTATTTCTCTCAACATCAATATTTTCCTTTTGATCAAGTGTCTCCACTGACAAGTCTCATTCCCTATCAGGATCCTTGATTTTCGTAATTTTTCTTGACTAAAAGTAAAATTTTTTACAGGCACACAAATTTGACCTAGAAAGATAACAAAGTTACAACCCATTGGACAATAGGAAGTGGTAACTGTTACTTAAGACTAAATTAAATGAGAAATTTATTGAAAAGCTCTGGAAAGAGGTTTCCACTATAGATGAGACACAAGTGCAAAGCTAATCTTTATAAATGTTACAAATACAGGCCACACCTGTCTTCAGGCTAAAGAACTTCATATTATTAAAGGTATATTCCTGAGTAATTTAAAAAAAAATTAGTTTGACATTATTCCCTAGTTTTATCATTGCATTAGGTCAGCAATACAAGTACAAGTTAATTATAACCTGAGGTTACTAACCAAGAAGGAGTCACTTCCTGGATTACACTACCCTTATTCTGTCTGAAAATATGTTTGATTTATTTTCTTCCTCCCTTCCTTCCCTTCATCCTTTCTTCCTTCTTACCTCCCTCCTTTCCTTTCTTTCCTTCCTGGATAGTATATATTAACAATAAAAGTCATTTTGAAAATAAAGATTTTTCAGAAATCAGAAATATGAATAGAAGTTTGGAATAATAGCTTTTCTCCATACTACAGTATTTATTTTATTATTTTGTTCAATACCTTAAGGCTTAAAGCTAGCAAATGTAACAAAAATATTTCAGTTACCAGTTAGTTTAATGATATAAAAGTACATTTGGCTAACTTTTGGACTCATTCAAATTTAGCAGGCTTTGGATTTCACCATTTGATAGAAGAGAAATTTCTTGGTTCCAGGGCATCATCCTTCACTAAAGTGTACCAAACATGAAGTAGTTAGTATGAGCAAAATTCAATAAAAATTCCAATGATTCAAAATACATAGGCCTGGGAATAAATTATTTTAAAATTAACTAAAACTGGATCAATCTGATTTTTCACCATAAACAACAGAAGATAAATCCAGCAGGGTTATAATATTTGCTTCAAACAATCACAATGAAGAAACAAATATTAGTGCTTGATATTGGATAAGTGCTCAAATATTTGTTAGAATAAATACATGAATGAATGAACACATCAGTAAATAAATATATTTGTAAAGTAAAATTTCCTTTTTAATAAGAGACCCTGGTTAGAAGATAAGCTGCTTAAAACAAATATTCACGAGTTGTTCATTTTTCGCTATAGTAACATAACATTGGACAAGGTACTGGAATGGTTTCTCATCAAGTTTATGTAAGAAGCACATATTTGATCTGTGGATATATTCTTTTTCAAATAGTTATTGTTTGTATCAGTTTTAAAGCATCAGCTTTTTATAAAGCCAAATACCAACTGCTTTTCTCTGAAAATTAAAAAAAAAAAAATGTTCATGATTCTTCTTAGTACCTGATGAGCTTTTACGATAACAAATACACATTATTTCTCTAGTGCATGGAGCCATTAATCCTTCCAGGCTGATTTACATTTGCTAGAGGGAAGTGTATCTCCATACAACTTCAATGCCTCTTCCAGGGTGGCATGCAACCTTATTTGCATTGTCCCATGTCAGTAAAATAGCACAGATGAGGAATAAGCTATTTTCTGACATATCTTTTGTTTTGCGTTGGAAAGAGGAGAAGTGAAGGGGAAAGGGGGAAAAATAGAGACGTAATATAAATTGAGCTTCCAGTATGTGCCAGTCTGCTAGGGGCTTTTCGTTTATGACCTCTCCTAATAGTTACAACAATTCTGTGAGATGCTCTTCCCTTACAGAGGAAGAGGATGTTGAGACTTTTTAGGTTAAGTGACTCACCCAAGGCCACAGTTAGTAGCAGAACTGAGAGGCAAACCCAAATTCATCTGCCTCCAAAGCCTTCCTCTTTGCACTTCATTATACTGCTAATAAATTCCATTCAGCATTCCATGTCCTGGTATTGGGTCCCACTAGAATGTAAACTCTTCAAAGCAGCTAACTTGCCTTTTTCGCACTTGCATCCCTAGCACCTAGCTTGGTGCCTAACACATAATATCTCAAAACATAAATGTTGAAGGTATGAATGAGTGAATAAATTAATAAGAAAAAAATACACACAGACTGTCAGACCTGGAGGGGCTCTAATCCAACCATCTCCTTTTTTAGATGGGGGAAAGCAAGGCCTAGAGAGATTAAGTCACTTGCCTTTGGTTAAGCAACTAATTAGTGAAAGATTCAGAACTTGATTTCGTGTCTCTTCTGTATTCTCCTCTACAACATGCTACTACTTGTACAAACATTTTCTAAAGCATGTTCATCAACATCTTGTGGTTTCCTAAGCATTGTATCCTCTTGATTTAATTTTTTAATCGTAAGCATTCCTCCCACATGGAAAGCAATGGAGGTTAGGAATACCACTAGCGCACCAGAATGAAAACTCTGTGAGGACAGGAAATTTTGTCTGTTTTGTTCATTTCAACAGGCTTGGCACTTAGAAGGTGCTCAGTAAATACTTGCTGAATAAATGAATATAATGAATATATATTATTTCCTTTTCAGTGATGAGCAAATTCTTCATAGATACTGATAGCATAGATTATATGAACGAATACTCGGCCGGGTGGAGTGGCTCATGCCTGTAATTTCAGCACTTTGGGAGGCTGAGGCAGGCGGATCACCCAAGGTCAGGAGTTAGAGACCAGCCTGGCCAACATGGTGAAACCCCATCTCTACTAAAAATACAAAAGTTAGCCAGGCATGATGGCGGGTGCCTGTAATCACAGCTACTTGGGAGGCTGAGGTGGGAGAATCACTTGATCCTGGGAGGCGGAGGTTGCAGTGAGCCAAGATCGCGCCATTGTACTCTAGCCTGGGCAACAAAGTGAGACTCCGTCTCAAAACAAAACAAAACAAAGCCAAACAGACAAAACAAAACAAAAAAACACCAAAACAAATGCTCAATAAAATATTTCAATAACATTGCTCAGTGAAATAGTATTCCTCTTTCCCTCCCTTTTCTTCCTTTCTCTATCTTCATCTGTAAAATGGGGGAAAATAACAGTATTCATTTCATAGGATTGTTATAAAGATAAATAATACATATAAAGCACTTAGCATGGTACTTAATATACAATTAACTCTCAATAAATGATAGTTATCAAGATGAATGTGATTTCTTCAAATCAAATACATAAGGACCCACATAATGAGGAGATGGAAGAATCGAAGACAAAAGAAAGTTGTTTTATGCTTTAAACTCTGTAAAATTGCCTTCAGACACAGTTCTCTATGTGCTTCAAACTTTGCAATTTCTAGGAGGGCTATAAATTATAGACATCATCTAAAATATCATAGATGTTTTCTCTTTTTCTTGGAGAGTCTCGCTCTGTCACCCAGGCTGGAGTGCAGTGGTACGATCTTGGCTCACTGCAACCTCCACCTCCCAGGTTCAAATGATCCTTCTGCCTCAGCCTCCCGAGTAGCTGGGACTACAGGCTTGCGCCATCATGCCCGGCTAACTTTTGCATTTTTAGTAGAGATGGGGTTTTACCGTGTTGGTCAGACTGGTCTCGATCTCCTGACCTCAGGTGATCTGCCCACCTCAGCCTCCCAAACTGCTGGGATTATAGGCATGAGCCACCGCACTCAGCCTCATAGATTTTTCTAGAATTTTTCTTGTGAAATTAATGGAGACAGAAGACATAATTAACCTTTATATAAACATATGACAATTATTCCTCAAATATTGCTATATGTAACTTTCAAAAAAGATCACCTCTCCACGAGTTCTTGTCCATTCCAGCAAAGGGTGTCGTTTTCCGCCACAGGGCTGTGGCTGCAGATGTAGCCAGGCAAAGCACTATAGAAGCTGATGAAAGACTTCAACTTCTGAATTAGTTCCCTAAAAGAAAAACAAAACATCTGCGCATAAGAGGCAAGTAAACTCAGTATGAGAAAAGTTTAATTTCCTTATCAGCATGACAGAAAGGCTCTGCCAGGCTGATTAGAGCAATAAATGATTTTTAAAGACATTCTTGGCTACAAGGCCACAGTTTAGTTTTTTTTAAAAAAAATCAATAGAATGATATTAGAAAAAAAGTTGCCTGTCATATAAGGTGCTGTTTCTATCAGAAGGATGATTTAATTCCAACATTCATTTTCTAAGACGTTCCACTTCCATTTTTTTTATTCAGAATGCTGTTACCTACATTTTCAAAGGTGCTGATTACAAGGCACACTGGAGCACTACATATCTTTTGGTTTCTGAGTGTAATTGGGTGCATTGATTGTAATTTACAATGCTATTACCCTAGAGGTGGCCCGTTTCCATATAGGCTCTGGCTAATGGTTGCAGATCAGAATTGCAGGGTGCTCAGAACAGTATAAGCTCTATGAAATTCTCCTGGCAATATAGTCAGAGCAACTCACATCTGCCAGAAAAGAAAGGTTTCTTTGTTCTTTGTATATTGTGGCTCCTGTGAGGGAGAGGGAGCAGGGTGGGGGACGATTCTAGTATATTTTATTATTTATTTGCTTTTGTGCTACATATAATAAGACAAGTGTGTGTGTGTGTGTGTGTGTGTGTGTGTGAGTGAGAGAGAGAGAGAGAGAGAGAGAGAGAGTGACAGAGAGAGAGAATATATTATGTCTGCAATTGTATGTAAACACACACATATAAATACCAGAAAAATTTCAGGTCTGTTATCTCATTTCAGATGTACATGGATACACAAAGTAATACTCCTTAGACTGGAGAGAAGTGGGTATGTTTAAAAAGAAATATTAAAATATGTAATAGAGGTACAGTGGTAAACAGACAAAAATAAAACACACTTTATTTTCTAAAGCAATGTTACTGATAGAAAATTAAAGCATCCTTCACATCCAAATGTATCTCATGTCTATACTAAGTTTTTGGAGACTCTATTCAGGGAATTTTCTGGCAGTGGAGTAATTATTCAATATTGTCTCCAGGCTAAGAATGGACTGGCCTGATGTATAGGCCTCTATAGGAACCAGAGGCCTGAATATCATTTGGACACTGGTGGAAGTCCTTAGCCCAGAAATGCCTTCTGGGAGTTGTTCTCATATCTGGCCAAATGAGGAAGACTGGTGAAAATATTCTCTTGTACTTAATTCGATTCTTCATTTTATTACTGCTATGGTTTAAGATGGCTTGTCCTCACCAAAACTCATGTTGAGGCGTGGTCCCCAAGGTGGCAGTGTTGGGAGCTGGTGCCTTTTAGAGGTGAAAATGGACTTATGTCTGCCTTGTAAGCCTGGGTTGGTTCTCCGGGGAATGGATTAGTTACCAGGAGAGTGGTTGTTATAAAGTGAGACTGCCTCTCATATTTGTCCTTTTCACTTGTGCTCAGTTCCCTTTCCTTTTCTCCACCATGTTTTCACATGGTATGCGGCCTTCACTTAGAAGGCCTCACAAGATGAGGCCGCCCAATCTTGAACTTCCCAGTCTAATAAATAAACCTCTTTTCTTGATAAATTACCCAGTCTTAGGAATTCTGTTACAGCAACATAAAACAAACTAGGACAATTACCATAAAACTATTCATTTCAACTAATGATTTAAGAGGTTGGGGAGGGAGAGAAAGGGCTCTCAGCATAGATTCACAAAGGCTTGGGTCACTGCAAAGTCAAGGTGATGGACAGAACAACTCAAGAAAGGTTTTTGGGACATATTTAACTTCTGATACCCCACAAGTTGCTTCCTGTTATGCCTGTACCCCCCACCCCACAGCCTACCCCTGGTGTCTGAGCACCATCAATCTCCAAAAAAAAGAGGCTCAATACAGAGCTCTGAAAATAAAAGTCAACATTATAGTTTCTCATAGAGGAAAAAGATGGGCTCAATTAACAGCTAATAGGAGAGATGCTCTGTTTTACAAGGTAATAATGCAGTTCCCAAGAGTGGATGCTGAAAAGAGTAAAGGCTGAGTCTAAGTAATTCCCCCCACTCCATAAGGAAACTGAATACGGCCATTAGTCTACGGGAAACAATGGCCCTCTCTTAAAGGAAAGAGTTTCCCTTAGGCCTTTCCCTACCTCCAAACCCCCTCTCACTAACATAGCACATGGCAAGAAAAATTGAACCCATGGCAAGGCCTTCCATTTTGATTTCCATAGAAGTTAAAAAACAAAAACAAAAACACCCTGAACTTCTCCCAACCCTTGCAGTTTTCTTGGTGGATCATAAAGATTATTGACAACTTGAAGAAGATCTAGATGAGGTTCGATCTAAATGTCAAGGGAATGAGGGTCTGCAATAAACATAAGACCTCCCACTTTAGTATAGAAAGATATTACCTGGAAGGGTTAAGATAAAAATCTAAGAAAACCACAAAGACAGTGAATATATTACTCTCGTCTCACACTGCTATGAAGAAATACCCAAGACTGGGTAATTTATAAAGAAAAGCCAGCGCTGCATGGCTGGGGAGGCCTCAGGAAATTCACAATTATGGCAGAAGTGGAAGCAAACATATCCTTCTTCACATGGTGGCAGGAAGGAGAAAAATGAGTGCCAAGCAAAGGGGGAAGCCCCTTATAAATCCATCAGATCTTGTGAGAACTAACTTACTATCATTAGAACAGGATGGGGGAACCACCTCCATGATTCAATTATCTCCATCTGGTCCCTCCCATGACATGTGGAGATTATGGGAACTACAATTCAAGATGAGATTTGGGTGGTGACACAGCCAAATCGTATCAGTGAATAATGTGAACATAGTCTGAGTTATCATGTTCTAGAACTCAGGGAATCTCTTTGAAAGTTGAACAAGTTAACTTGGAAAAATAAAAGGTTATCCTACTTTATTAACTCCACAGGGCATATAGGATGGAGACAGAAAGAGACTGTGCTTTAAAAATTTACTTCTGAATTAGTTATTTTGAATTTGTTATTTTGAATTAGTTATTTTGAACACAGTTTTATTTTGCAACCATGTTAGAATGATTGGGTTCTCAGAACAGCCCCTTCAAACCTGTTGTGAGTAGTAGCTGAGAGCACTGATTATGGAGTATGACTCAGCTGAGTTTCAGATGTCAGCTATGCCCTCACTTATTGAGCAGTGAAATCTTAGGCAAACTCTAAGCTTCTCTGAACTTTAGTTTCCTTATTTGTGAAATGAAGATAATGATGATACCTATCTTGCAAGTTTACTGTAATGATTAAATGAGACAATGCATGTAAAGTGTTTAGCATAGTACCCACACAAGTAAGCACACAGTAATCACTCTACAATGTTAGCCATTGCCAATATTACAACATTATCATGAATCTGTAGAATAGAAATATATCATTGATATTGTTTGGCTGTGTCCCCACCCAAATCTCATCTTGAATTGCAGCTCCCATAATTCCCATGTTTTATGGGAGGGAACAGATTGGAGATAACTGAATCGTGTGGGTGGTTTGCCCCATACTGTTCCTGTGGTAGTGAATAAGTATCACGAGATCTGATGGTTTTATAAGGGGTTTCCCCTTTTGCTTGGCTCTCATTCCCTCTTGCCTGCCACCATGTAAGATGTGCCTTTTGCCTTCCGCCATGATTGTGAGGCCTCCCCAGCCACATGGAACTATGAGTCCATTAAACTTCTTTTTCTTTATAAATTACCCAGTCTCAGTTATGTCTTTATCAGCAGTGTGAAAATGGACTAATACAATCACATATATATGAAATACACATATTATATTCCAGATAAATTCATGTATGCAGGACAATTAAAAGTTTTTCAAGTGCTACATAATTGTATGTACAATAAGATAATTAAAATTCCTCACTTTTTTGAGGTAGATATTAATAAGTACAACCATATTCTCTCCCAACAGATTTTTCCTAGTATTCTTCCCAAACCAGTTAGCTACTGGGCTGGGTAAACCTCTTGACTTATTTGGTACAGCAGTTTGAATGGTCTTTTTCTCTGAGCCTGGTAGGAAGGTGGTGGTGACCCTGACAGGGATTTGTGTCTAAGAATTTAAGCACTGGATGTGGAGGGCTAAAATGAAGTCAAGTTAGAAAAAGATAGATTATGGGCTGGGTGCAGTGGCTCACACCTGTAATCCCAGTACTTTGGGAGGCCAAGGCAGGTGGATCTTTTGAGAATAAGAGTTTGAGATCAGCCTGGCCAGCATGGCAAAACCCCATCTCTACTAAAAATACAAACAATTTAGCCAGGCACAGTGGTGTGCACCTGTAACTCCAGCTACTAGGGAGGCTGAGGCACAAGAATTGCTTGGACCCGGGAGGCAGATGTTGCAGTGAGTGGAGATCACACCACTGCACTCCAACTTGGGTGACAGAGTGAGACTCTGCCTCAAAAAAAGAAAAAAAGAAAAAAAAAAAAGAAAAAGAAAAAGATAGATTAGTCATCAGAGAAATGCAAATCAAAACCATGAGACACTACTTTACACCCACTAGAATGGTTATGATAGACAACAACAAGTCCAGTGAGGAGATGAATAAATTGGAACCCTCACACATTGCTGGTGGCAATGCAAAATGGTACTGCCACTGTGGAAAACAATCTAGCAGTTCCTCAGAAAATTAAGCACAGAATTACCACATGACCCAGCAATTCTACACCTAGGCATATATCCAAAAGGATTGAAAGTAGGTACTCAAATAAGTTTCTGTTCATGGCGGCATTATTAACAATAGCCAAAAGGTGGAACAAGACAGATGACCATCTACTGATGAATAAACAAAAGATGATTATATATATATATAATGAAATACAATGAAATATTATTCAGTCTTAAAAAGGAATGAAATTCTGAATGTGCTACAATATGGGTAAACTTTGAAAACGCTATGCTAAGTGAAAGAAGCCAGTCATGAAAGACCATGTATTCTATAATTCCACTTTTGTTAAACGTTCAGA